GGGCGGTAAGACTCCCAGGGCAGATGGTTTATCCCTTGTATATTATAAGAGGTTTTCCCCTTGTTCTGTCCCTTCATTTTGTGGTAGCATTGAACTCTCTATGCGATGGCTGTTCTTTTAGGTCAGAAGCTGTGTTTGCCCATATAGCTGTTCTACCTAAAGGTGGGGAAGGGTCTGTCAGTTTGCTCTAGCTACCACCCCCTTTCTCTATCTAAAAGTTGCACTAAACTCTTTGAAACAATCTTATATCTATACCTTTTACAGTTTCTTTGTGAAATTATCCACCTGGACCAGGTGGGTTTTATGCCCTCTAGGGTGGCAAAGGACAATTCCACCAGAGCTTTGAATATCATCCACTTGGCCCTGTCGAATTTCACAACCTGTGTTCTTATTTCAACTGATGCCAAAAAGGCATTCAACAGGGTTGACTGATCATTTTTGCACATCACTTTAGAGTCTCTGGGTTTGGACCCGCATATGCTTACTTGGCTCCAGCCACTCTACTCCTGTCCGTCAGTGAGAGTTCCAGTCAAAGGTTCCCTGTCCGAATCGCTTACTATTACTAACTACACTATATAGGTTTGCCTGCTATTCCCCCATGATGTTTATTTTGATGCTGGAACGATTTCTCCATACAGTGCAGGCTAATACAGATATAAGGGGGGCATTTTGGGGTCTAAGTCTCACAAGGTCGCTGTTTATGCCGACAACCTTTTATCTTTTCTGTCTTCTCCCTTTAGGTCTATCTCAATTCTCCTCTCGAAATTCTGTAAGTTTGCATGTTTTTCTGCCTCCTAATGCCTTTCAAGGGCTGATGGAGAACTTTCCTTTTAGGTAGGCAACTAGTTCCATACGATATCTGGGTATCCATTTACCACGGGATCGATCTCAAACCTTTTCATTGAACTTTCTCCCATTACTTCAATTGATTAAATCGGATCTCCAGAATACCTTTTCCAGGATGGGCAGGTGTAATATGAAACAGAATATCCTTCCCAGGATCCTGTACGAGCCCCAACGGTTTGTGCTCCACCTTATTTCCTTAAATCCACCCAGGTTATTTTGAACGCTTTTGTTTGGGCGGCCCAGTGTGCCATGCGATTCTCTGCAGACCTAAATACAGTGGAAGTATTTACTACTAGGCAGTGCACATTGCCAGAGTTTTGGAATTGTGTAGACATTTGAGGGGAATTTATCAAAACTGGAGCAGCTATGCATGGCAACCAATCAGCTTGTCTCTTTAATTTTCAAATCTTAAATGAACAAACTGAAGAGAGAAGCTGATTGGTTGTCATGGGTAACTGCTCCAGATTCTGTCTGCTCCAGTTTTGATAAATTCTCCCCTAAGTTATGGGTTTCCATGCAACAATCTTTTTCTCCTATACCCTTACCTGCGCTCCCATGGTGCCTCCTACCTTTGGCCTCCCATCCTACCATTGCTGAAACTGAACTGGTGGTGGGTTCAGTATTCTCGAAGGGTCTGCTATCTTCACCACCGACCCCGGTGATGCCTCTATTAGGGAATCCCTATTTCCCCCTGACCTGTGGGACTAAGCTTTCCATAAGCTGAGGCACTCAGAAAAATGTTGTGCCTCGGATTTTATTCTTTGGTCACACTGGCCATCATATTCTCTTCTTTCTAAAGACCTGGCTTTTCCTCTACTTTGGGTGTCTGGTGCTGGGGGCAGTTATCCCATTTTCTTTAATCTCTCTCCAATGCTTCCCATTTTGAGCGACCTCTGTCATTATTATTATTATTATTATACAGGATTTATATAGCGCCAACAGTTTGCGCAGCGCTTTACATGGAGCCGGTTTCCTGGGCAATCCGCAAGCCGGGTGGTGAGTAATGACCCCGCCTCCCTGATTAGCCGGGAAGCTGGCTCCATGCTGATTGGCTGGGAAGCCCGTTTCCAAGCAAATCACAATCGAGCCGGCCAAACAACATGGAGCAAGCTTCCTGGGGAATCAGGAAGTCAGGCGGCAAGTCATTACCCGCTGCACAGCTTCCTGATTGCCTGAGAAGCCGGCTCCATGGCAGTGGAAGCCCTGGTACTCAGTATCGGCAAGTACCGAAAGCAAAATATTGGTATCGTTGCATCCCTATTTATTATGATCGAAAAACTTGTTGTAACAGAGAAAGTTGATCAGTCTGCTTTTTCTCTAGGGTTTCAAATTAATAAATTGCTGTTTATTGGAAACAAATCTTAGATGAGTGCTTAGGTTTGCAGAAGCCAGCAAAAGTCACCAAGCCTTTTCTTGAGATGGAGGGATTGTTTGAATTAGACTTGTTATGGTGTGCTTTTGGCGGGAGGAAAAATCCTCCGACAGTTCCACTTCATGGAGGGGTAAGAACCAGAGGCAAATGCCTTGGGCGGCACAGGACACCATGTGATCTGAGTTTAAGTCAGAGAGGAAAACGGGGGTAGAGGGGAAAACTTTCAGCAAACCCCGTCATGTGGAGCAATGGCTGCAGTCCAGTACAGCACCTTGGATACTTGGCATGTGTAGTCTTGAAGCACCGAACAAAGTGAGTGCATATCAGAACAGCTATTACTTTCCAGTTACACCTGAAAGTTCCAGCATTTGCAAGTCAGAGGAAAATGCAGAGGTGGGCTGCTCAGATTTAAAGGTGATATAAAAATTCCGCCAGCACACTACTTTAAAACTAAATGTATTGCAAGCAAAGAAGAAAATCTGAAAATCTCAAAGCCAAGGCGCTGCAGAATAAAATGGTGGCAGTTGTAAATTTTTATATGTTGAACGACATTAGCGCAATTTATTATCAAACTCAAAAATTCCGTAAAAAATGCACTTAAGTTAAATTTAGTGCCCCAAAACACAGTAAAAAAAACATTTTTTTAAATGCAATACAAACAATGAGGTTACAACAAGTAAATAGATACCCAACATGACCAGGTTAAAAATTATGTGCGTCAGTAAAAACAGCAACAATATTCACTACACAAAGAAGTCCATAGACGACGCTTTGAAAAGCCGCTACAGGTCATCAGTTTAGAGATGTGCGTAAATATTGGCCCTAGAATGATTGCTCTCACCCTGGCGTGTGCAGCGTTAGCCAACTTGTGTAGCGCAATCATCGTTTTTGGACGTAGGCGCACCCGACGCGTGTTTACATGAAGACGCATGTGCTCGCGGGGTACTTTACAAAAATAGTTTTTAGTATTTTTACATTTATTTCACTTAATATTTTAAAAAACGATTTATTTGTATTACTTTAATTGCCATCACATAGGGGGGCTTACAAGCCCCCCATGTGATAGCATATTGGTGGTAAGGTACTCTTTAAGGTGATACTGGGAGTCCAAAAGACCCCTAGTGTCACCTTTCCACTTTAAATAAGCTATTGAAGTGCAGATCGCAGGAGCGCGCGAAACACAGCGGGGGTGTCTTTGGGGGGGAGGGGAGCGGGCAGTTTACCAGCATGTAGAAGCGATCTGACGACAGCTGAGTGGCTAGAATTGCTTCTATTGTAAAGCCGCCCGTCGGCTCTACAAATGTAAACAGTTAGCCCCCCGGGAGTTTAAAGCGGCCCGCTGCCAGTGACGTCCTGTCACTGGCCACTAAAGGGTTAACCACAAAAGTACTTTAGGCCACTAGTTACTAGAGAGTAAAAGATTATATATACATAGAAGCTGATGTCATTTTAAGGGTGACACTGCCACACAGAGTTTGCATTTAGGCATCAGCACCTGGGTTAAACAGTAGCCAGAGACGTGGCAGGGACCTTTGCCTTTGGAAGAGTACTAGGTTGCCAGGCTGTGCTGAGAGGCAGTAAAAGCATATAGGAGAGGAATGCAGATCTCTCATTCTGAAGTAAATCAAGAAAAACGCATTTTGGAGCATTTAGCTAATCCCAAAACGAAAGACACTAGGTATTCATTTGCCAATTTTCAAGTCTGAAGTAATTTAAACAGAGGTCGCTTTTACCGTAATTTTGTTTTTTTAAATTCCTTTTTGATAGCTAATATGACTGAAAGCAGTAGAATGCTCTATATTGTCCTTCCCACTATGAAAATCATTTCCTGGTTTTAAACTCACTGAGGGGAATTTATCAAAACTAGAGCACACATAATCTGGAGCAGTTGCCCATGGCAACCAATCAGCTTCTACCTTTCATTTTCAAAGCTTAACTGAACAAATTGAAGAGAGAAGCTGATTGGTTACTGTGGGCAACAGCTCCAGATTCTGTCTGCTCCAGTTTTGATAAATCCCTCTCACTTGTTGTAAGGTTCTCTTTTTTGGATTTGCACAACAAAGTAAGAACTCTGGCATACCCGCCCCCCATTAGCGTCCATCAGGTAAATGTATACTGTAGGGTTACAGAGTTGTAGGTGTTCATTTGAGCTGGAAGTTTATATTTGCATACTTCACAACCTAAGTTTGGGGGCTTTTGAGGTGCTTAAATTGTATATTTTAAAAATCACACTTACACAGATCAGTAGAGCACATTAGTATTATCAACTCCCATTATTATGCAAGCAAAAAGTACATATTTGCTTGCTATGACTTAAAACTGCTGCTCAGGGAGTTCCTCATGTGGTCTAAAGCTTGGGCACCCTAGATCACATTGTCCCTAATTACTAGGAGTATTGACAGTGTTTTACAGTTTTTTTTAGATTGCAATATTATAAACATGCACAGAGGCTACTGAAACGGCTGCTGACCTCTCCTTATAAAAATGCTAGTTGTTTGGTTGTTACGCTAATTTTCTTGCTTCAGAATATTAATTTACAGACCCAGAAAAAGTAAGCAGATTAGGACTTTTACTAAATGTTCTGCTCTGTATTCTAGTTGCAAGCTCAGTAACAAATTACTGAAGCCAGTGGGCCAGAATAACAATCAAGGCAACTTTTTCATAAGGTAAGCAATAGCAGGACTCCATTTTTCTCTCATGACAGGTTTACGTTAAAGTGTTGCAGTGCAGAACAGTACAATATACTAGAAACAAAAATGCAGTGGTCTATCATTACTCATACCCTTTCTAGCAGACTCATTTCTTGGAATTCCGGACTTGTATTTGATAGTCGCTGTAGAGTGTGTGTGAGATCATAGGATGTAGAGAAGTAAAATCCATCCACGCTGAGAACATAGCTGATCATGGAAAGGAAGGTTTTGTTATCCTGCAACTGTTAAAACAACATGTGTCAGCATTATTATTTCATGTACTTTTAAATGCACAGTGCAGATTAAAAAAATATCTAAATCATAAGACAGACAACATTAAGCAGAATGCTTTTCAAAACCTTTTTTTTCTTTTTTATAACTGGATTTTAAATAACTAGATACATTAAGGGAAAAAGGTTAGATCCTCTCTATGTAAATTGAAACCCCATATATAATGTAGGTCAATGGGAAGTGAGGGATTTAGGTTCCAGGCCTCTCTCAAAAATGACATAGGTGACATAATACACTATATTTAAAGCTTTGAAATGAATGTTATGAATGCTCCAATGGTACCTATAGAGTGGCTCTATGTGCCTCCATACCTCCAAGTGTACCCATGTGCTCCTACATATCTCCAAGTGTACCCCTATGCTCTTCTGTAGCTCCAAGTGTACCCCCTGTGCCTCCAGCTCTCTATATGCGTGTGCACATCTCCATTTGTATCCATGTGCCGCCAGAGCATCTCCATGTGTGCACCACCATACCTTCAAGTGTCCCTATGTAGGTGTCCAGAGTTCTTTGAGCCCCTTCCTGAGCCGCAATACTTATAATTGGCTGGGAAAAAGAGTAATGTTATTATAATGGGGGACTTCAATTATTCAGACATTGATTGGGCAAAGGGAACTGCACAAATCAACCAAGGCTTGCCGTTTCGTTAACTTATTGAGGGACAGTTTCATGGAGCAGATGGCAGAAGTCCCAACTAGGATGAATGCATTATTGGATCTAATAATATCAAATAATACAGAGCTGATTTTAGACATAGGGTTATCACATTCACAATAGGTTACAGAAAAGAAACGTAGATTAGTTTGACAAGAACACTAAACTTAAAAAAAAAAGACTAACTTCAACAGACTGCGATCATTAATGCATGATATCAAATGGGAGGAATTATATATAACAAAGAATACAGACTAATTGGGGTTGTTTTAAGGATATACTGAACAATAGCATAAGCCAGTGCATGCCATTGGGCAACAAAAATAAAAGCTAAACTGGTGTGGCTGATTTCAGAGGTAAAACAACTTATTGGAGGTGCACCGAAATGAAAATTTCAAAACCGAAATTTAAAAAAATATCAGGCCGAAACCGATTTTACTTATATTCGGGTCGGCTTATACTCGAGTATATACGGTAGAAAAAGAGATTGAGGACACAGAGTCCTCAATCTAGAAATAACAGAATCTGAAAGGCATCTATCTCTACAACAGCCATGCCATAAAAACCAGTGACCGTAAAGGGTGGTAAAATGATCTTTGGGACAGAAGATCTGGAAGAGCGCACAGGTTTTTGCCAGGAGTCGGACTAGCACATCCGCCTAGTCCAGTTCAGTGCTATAAGAATCACCAGAATGCCATCCATCTTGATACAATGAGACAGATGTGGAAGGAGCTTTAAAAGGCGAAAAGGTTGTACTGATCAAACAAAGCAGCCAGGGCATCCACTTCTTTCTGCCATGGATCTCTGTCCCTGAAGATAAACCTGTCCAGTTGGTAGTTGAACCTTGAGGCCAGGAGGTTCACATCTGGCACCCCCAAGGGAAAATCTGTTCCACTTCTTTTTTTGCAGATGTGGCACTGTCCGATTAAATCCAGTGTAAAATGACTATACAGTCAAGGAGACCAGCATTGAAGGGGTAGTCAAATTGCTTGGAACTCCAGAATGTTGATGGGGAGACAAGCTTCTTCAGACGACCAAGTCCCTTAAACCATCAGGGTGTCTAGAATGTCTCCACAGCTTGTAAAGCTGGCATCCATCATAAGAATAGTCCATGATAAAAGGAGGAAAGACTTTCCAGATTCCAGAACTGGACTGATGAACCACCAGGCCAGAGACAACCTGGTCCTGTTCTTGTCAGGTACATTGGCAAGTCCAGTGACTGTTACCTTATTATCCCATGCAGCCAGAATGTTTTAATGATCTGGAGTAAAACAGGGCAAATGGTAATGCCTCGAAGAAAGCTACCATAATACTCACAGACCAGCTGGAGATGCAGCAAAGGTTATATGGCTCCAAGTGACTGTGGACACAAATGGACAGTAGCAAGGACAAACCAAGGTAAACCCGCAATGCCTGCTAGGAGAGAAGTTGCAAGAAACAACCTCACGCTGAAAGGTGGAAAAGGATCGTGTAGAACGACACAGCTGTTAGTGACACCATGATTTTCTCTGGTGCATTAACCTCTTTCGAGTAAAAGCTGGAGGAAAAAAGGTATTAGTTTCAGGCGCATACAAGACAAGCCCCAAAGTACAAGCACAGTACTGAGATGCTGGAGAGTGCCATATGAAGAACAAAGTGAAACAAGTCACATTCCAAACATTTTTTGCCCCTACCATGGGCTCACTTTCAAGGGAGCCTTCAGGGGTCATGGACCTGGATATGTAAAGTGCTCAAGCGTTTACAAACCAGTACACTAGGTGTCTGGGGAGCGCCACAAGCAGAGCCCAGTGCCAGAGGCTCGCATTACAGGCAGGTCCTGCATCTTGATCATTTACTAATTTGTATTGAAATTATAGTTTATCATGGGAGCGAGCTTGGAGCGGTGGCTACTTTACAACACACACAGGAACCATAGGGAACAAAAGTAGCCACCTTTGAGAAGGAAGGACAATGTCAGCACAAATTTAGAGATGATTTGGAGGTTCTACAGCTGAGTGATGCACAAAGCAGATAGTTTTATGAATAGAGTACTTGAATGCATTTTTAAGATTTAACTCCTGAGTTTAGTGTCACTTCCATGTCAGTAAACGATGGGATCAACTGCTATAGGGGCGGGCAGAGCTCCGATAATGCAAGAAACAGGTGGTTGACTACTAGTGGAGTAGAACATTCTACAAATGTATAGAGCACCAAGAACTATTTGGGTTGTCTTGTCTGGGTGTTTGCAGTCTTTGCAGATAAATTCAGTTGTGCATACCTGCATAATATGGTAAATGCTGACCATCACCACCACGCTTTAACAGACATCACTTATCTTAGTAAGGCTTTTCAGGGCTGGCAATGTGCCCTCACTGACAAATAAGCCACAGCTCAGACATTTCCCCAGAAATGCCACAGGCCTGCATGTGTGCAGTGCCACATCAGGAGCACTGAGTTAACAATTTAACCAAAGCAAGAAGAAAAAAAAAAAGGTGGGAAATGTAAAATGGCAGTTTGGGCAAAAAGTGCGCAGCCGTCAAAGTAAAAACAAAAGTGTACACTATTCTCTAGTTTTAATAAAAAGGGGGGTCCTCTATATACAAAAATAAACTTAACATGCACAGAACCTACAGAAAGGTATAGGCAAGCACAGATGGGGAAGAATCAATCTCCCTCACAATAACTAAGCTATATACAGCCTAGTCACACATACAAAGCTGCTTGAAAAGAAAGTGGAGATTACCTGAACAAAGCATAAGCCTGCTAATCACTCACAAGTGAGTTTTCAGACAGGAACAGTAACTGCTCCAGCTCTGGTCCCAATAATTCTGCAAGGAATCTACAGATAATCTGGCCTGCCTTGAATACGGAGTCCTGTGCTAACAGCAACACATACGGGTTGTCACTGATGAACGCAGGACTGTTGCAGAGAGAACACCAGTATACTTCAGGAACTGGGAAAACCTGCACTTGTTGACAAACTGGAGACTTCCAGGATTTCCAATATCTGGCTTGAATCTACCAGTATTTGTTAATAGTACAAAAAAGTAGGGATGCACCGATACAAGCATCGGTATCGGCCGCGATACCGAGTATTTGCATGAGTACTCGTACTCGTACTCGTACTCGTGCAAATACTCCAAAACATAAAACGAGTACCTGTGCCGCGTCCGCCATCTTCAGGGACCCGGATCCGCCGCACACAGGACCTCCATCGCGTCTTCAATCAAGCAAGATGGCCGCGACCTCCTCTGTCATCTGCTTCATTCTGACCTCTCCCGCTGATTGGCCGATTGGATGATTGACAGGCTTCAAAGTATTCAGATTCACACAAAAAAAATAGCAGAAAGGAGCAAGACATCCAATCTCCTGATACTAAGCACAACTAAGCAGATGTGAGGCGGGAGGGGGTTAAAGCCTCAACAGGCTGGACTTTAGTATTCTATGTGCTTAGTGTTCATTTCTCCTGTAGATGCCAGTATAACCCTAGGTTGCTTATTATATTAAAAGCTGTCTCCCAGCAAAAAACTGCAAGAATTGGTTTAAGATAATGAAACAACAAAGATGGGGCATATTGGTGGGAAGGAGGCGGGTGGAAGTGTGGGTAGAAGTGATGGAAAAGTTGCCTCTCTTACATTGATATTTTTGCAAAAATAACTTCAAATAAACAGTATTTAACATTCCTTTGGGAACAGTTTTAATTTGTAATGATGCAATTCTGCCATATACATCACTCGAATGCTGTAACAAATGTCTATCAGAAACTCACCTGAGTATCTGTTAAATGCAAAATTGTCTTTTTATAGGAAATAACATCAAAGCCTGTGGCTTTCCAAATGGAATGATTAAAAAGATCCCCTACTTTCTTCTTTCTGGTAATCACAATCAGATACATTCCTGATAAGCAAAATAGTATACATTATAAAATATTGTGGAAACATATGTCAATAACTACTTGACATTCAAAATACAACACACACACACACAAGTCTTAAAGCAGAACTGCATTTTTCCTTTAACACAGGGGGTTGAGAATGGAAAAATAAAAATCACTTTAAGAAACTGGAACTCCAGTCAGTTAGCACAATACAACAGAAATGCATTTCTATAACTGATTTTACTTGCCAAAGAACTTGCCGTTCTACACACTCAGTTATGTGATTTATACTCAAATGCCAGGCTGCACAATCAGGCAGAAGACACACTGATTTAGGAGAGACGGGGCTCTTTATTTTATATTTGGGTGTGCCGGGAGGGGGGTTGTATTATTTTGAATGTGGGGGG